TGAAATTAAATCGCATTTTTGTTTTTATTAATTTTAATAGATGCGTCTTTACTAAGTTTGTACCACGTTTAGGTTATTAGAGAGGATTTAACCTGTTTCATCACTACCTACACAGTAACAATTTTGACGCTTTAAGTTTCAGTTCCAGACACGTTTCCCGCCTGGTTTATGTCTCAAAATTGTTATGTTACAAACTTATTATATTATGTTTTAATGTATGTAGTTTTAAATTTTATTGTTTGAGAGTAAATAATTTTTTTCAAATAAATTGAATACCCAAGATTAGTTTATACCAAAGTGGAAACCTTTTACGAATATACAGGGTGACTGGTGAATTACTATCAATATTTAAGGAGCATACTCGGTAGATGATTCTCATTCGAATTATGTAAAAAAAATAGGCAATTAGTTTTTGACCAAATTTCCGTAAAAATAAATAAAGTGTGTACACGTTCCAAGTGTTCCAAGTGTGGACGCGTGCGGCAGCGTGCTGATACAACACTACGCCGCCGCCGCGTCTGTGTGTGTGTGTGTATACCTAATCTGTAGGGTGTTCATACGATGCGTAATTAATTACATAACTTTTGGTTAACTTTACTTAGAAATTTATTAATATTTATGTTATATTAATTTTTATTTTGTCATATATGATCGTCAAATATCACGTCCTCAAATATCGATAGTAATTCACCAGTCACCCTGTATAATTCGGGTTTCCATCTGTTTATAACTATAATATTGTAACTATAAATAGAGGCGGAGGTGTAAAGAAAGGGACAAATAATATATTAAATATTATACAGGTGACTGGTGAATTACTATCAATATTTAAGGAGCATACTCGGTACATGATTCTCATTCGAATTATGTAAAAAAAATAGGTACTTAATTTTTGACCAAATTTCCGTATAAATAAATAAAGTGTTGACACGTTCCAAGTGTTCCAAGTGTGAACGCGTGCGGCGGCGTGCTGATACAAAACCACGCCCCCGCCGCGTGTGTGTGAGTGTGTGTGTATACCTAATCTGTAGGGTGTTCACACGATGCGTAATTAATTACACAACTTTTGGTTAACTTTACTTAGAAGTTTATTAATATTTATGTTATATTAATTTTTATTATGTCATATATGATCGTCAAATATCACGTCCTCAAATATCGATAGTAATTCACCAGTCACCCTGTATAATAATAATTAATAACAAAATGATTAATAATTGGACAAATCACAAGTAAATCGTTATATTCAAGATCGTGTAGTTTTGTATATGTGTGCATAGAATGCAATTGTGTGTTAATATGAACGTCCCAACATCCGCCCGCACAACCAGTTAAAACCACGAGTAGTTCTCACTAAATCTAACCAATATATCGAACAGTTTATTTGTGCCTAAAGTTTAAAACGAATTGTTACAGGCTTTATTAATTTAAACACATAAAAATATTAATTATTTCGTATTTGTGATAATGATGACAAATTGTTATAAATTTAATTATTATTATAGGTGATATTTGGCATATTCTCATGCAAGTAGTTATTACTTAAGTACGCTCAAACAACTAATATCAATATAAAAAAAACAAATATGAACTTTATAACAAGTAAAAAGTAAACACAACCTGTCGAGAACAATCAAAGTGAAAGCTAAAAACCATGGTGTGTAGGACAAACCTTTGGTACACACGATCAAAGCAAACCATGCCAATTTCCAGTAGTCAACCTTGCGACGTCATAGCTAACCGAATGCATATATATTATATGTATATATAATGATTCCTTATTCTGTAGCAAAAAAATACTATGTAACTTGTACTCATACAAATACATAGTTGAATATTTTGATTGTCAAAAAAATAATATTTATCCCTAATAATTTTGGGTTAGCAGAAAAATAAGACTACATGAATTGTTATGTCATCCTCTTTAATAATTTAAACAGTATATTAGATTCCCTTTATGTTAATCATTATAAGTTTAATTCATCATGTTAAAATTTTATTTTTTATGTTTCCACTAATATCAAAATTTGTTTGTTCCAATAAGTTACATATCTCATTAATAGAACAGATTTCTACGTTTTAATTATTTTTTAAATACATACTTAAAAGAATACATCCTAAAATTACGCCAGATAAAATTATAGAAACTGTCTATCTTTTATTTTTTTTAACATTGTTAATAAAATACAATAAAACACTAGCTAAGAAAATAATATATAATATGGCAACTCTTCATTGCTTTCATATGGCAAGAAATATTATTTCATTTTTAGTCTTAGTGTTACTACCTTAATACTTTTTTGTTAAAATTGAGATTTAAGTATTTAGAAATTTGATGATAAAGCAGAGCAGTTTACAGATCTATAAGTCTTCTGATTTTTAAGTTTAAACAAAATAATACTTTTCAAGCATGGAGATTTGGATATAAATTGTCAGCAAATTATTTAAGATTTTTTAAAAATATAAAACCAATTTAATAATTTTCTCATATTGTTTAAGCACTAAATTACATAAAGATACATAGTTTAGTTAGTTTTTTAAATATTTTCCAAAGAAACAGTTGTATTTTTATTCTAATAAAGGAAATTTAATAAAAAAATGTAAGTTACCTCTGGTAACATCTACTTCAATGGTTTTACTTGACACAATATTCCCCTTTATTTTTAAGTAGAATATGCTCTCTAGGTTGATAGAATGAAAAGAGTTTATCCATTTTATTTGTTTGTGTTAATAATGCAATCATTGTATGCAAACAACTTTATATCTCCAGTGACTTCAATAATTTGGACTGTATTTGAATATTAAATTGACATTTTATGTTTTCTCTCGGGCTGTAATTTTTGCTTTGGGATTAAATTATGAGAAAAAATATTTAGTGTAGAATAAGTGGTCTTTACACATGGTCTTTATGTTGAAGTAAAGAAGGAATTTATATAATAGCTATCAAGCGACTGAACCATATTGAATCAAAATATAAGTGTTCATGGATGTAGTTATATGTTCAATTAATAAATCTTTATTTACAATAATTAGGTATTTCATTATTGTATCAAAACTAAGTTGCAATAAATAATAATAGGCTCACTAATGCAGCTAACTAATAAATAGAAAACAATTTATTTTGTCTTATCTCTTTAACAGACAAAAATTTTTTGTCACAATTCATAATTAAGATTTCGCATTGCTCATTTAGATACATAACTTGTTGCACAAAAATCATAATGTACAAAGCATGACTGCAATTGCCAGCAGGTAAGCAATTTCCCTCAAGAAACATGTAAGTTATGAAAAAAATTCAAGAAGTAATTCAAAGTTTTCTCTTCCTGTAGTTTCTTTTCAATAGAAACATCTCACGATAGAATATTATAAATACAGTGTAAACTCTATATAACGACACTGAAGGGACCGTGCATTTTAATGCGTTATAGAGAGTTGCCGTTAAATAGAAAGAAGAAAAATCAGAATTAGAAAAAGACAAAGTTTATTTCAGACTAGTGTTAGTGCTTATGTACATAAAAAAGAATGTTATAGTTTGAGATTTTGTGAGCAACTTTTTATGTTAACATATAGGTATTACAAGACTCCTACTTATGGTCAAAAACCGTCGACACGTGTAATCAATTTGTAATTGTAAACAAAAGAACGAATTTCTTAGAAAGTTCGGTATGGATGATAGGGACAGTCGAGTTTATTGCGGGCTAGGATAACAAAGCGACAAAGGAACGTACACAGCTGCACAGTTTTTACTAATTTTAGCAACTTAAAAGGTACTTTTTATTACTTAATTGTTGTCGTTATTGAGAGTGTGTGTGTCGCTATGTAGAGTGTATCATTGTATGGTAGACAAGCGAAACCAACCAAAGTCAAACGATTTCGACGCTTTAGAGAGTTTGTCGTTAAATCGAGTGTCATTATATAGAGTTTACACTGTAACTAGTTTTTATTACCAACATTCTCTGTGTTGGACTCAAGGTAAATACATAGGTTATTGATTTAATCAGAGCTTAAATTTGATCTTAGAGTTTGAACTATGCAAATATATAAAACATTTACATTTTCAATCTGACAAAGATACAATTCCAAATTTTAGCAAAATTCCCTGTTTCCCTTCTGTGACCATTTCAAAGCCTATATAAAAATCCATGTGTAGCTGTTTTTATTTCACTATCTATAACAACACAGAACATAAAAGCTTTTGTGTGATATAACCGCAAATAAATTAAGATGCCTCAATTAAGCAAATTCCAACTGACCTTTCAAATGTCTATCTAATTTGAAGCTTTCATAGAAAACTATAACACATATAATATGATTATTATTATACCATAGTATTTCTAGATACATATATCTAAATAAATGAATATATTTTTTGGTAATGTATAATTAATTTAAAGACATCACATTATTTTTGGACTAGCCTTACTTCAAGAATAGATGATGTATTTTAAAAATATATATAGAAAGTATGTGAAGTGATCAGATGCGATAGTTTCTTGATGATGCTGATAACAATGATGATATAAATAACACTCATACATTTCATACTTATTATGTTATTTTATATTGTATATTTAATTGGTCTTTAAAATCTATTTCATATTGATTACTAATCAAAAAAAGATAAGACTTTTATTTAACTTGCAGTACTGTATTGTAGAGGCAGTGAGGTTTAAAATGAGTATGACAAAAATATATTATAACAATCACAATAACTATTTCGCATTGGCAACAAAATTATCATTTTGATACTAGGATAATAATAATTAAGAAGAGAAAGCAAACAACTTTGCAGATGGTGTTTGTATGAAGTATTGATAGTTATGAGATAGTAATTTAAACTTTAATTATAAAGTGAATTAAAAAAATGCATACAAAGAAAACAAAAGTATACAATAAATCAATAAAACTTTTAAAGGTAAGACCAGAGTTTTGGCCAAAATAAATAATAGTAAGTGAATTAACTATAACATTTCAAATATAAAAAATAAGGGGTGACTCACCGCTGTGTTCGGTAAAAATGTTGGAGCCGAGCATGCGGGGGTCCTTGGGTACTCGCGGCTTGTTTCTCGTCGAACGCATGGACGCGCCGCTGGCCGTACCGCGTTCTTTCGCCTGCTGAGCCCCCATCTTGTACTGACGCCTCCGCCACCCTCTTGGTTTCGAAACCGGCGAGCGACCTCTCACTCAAATCACTAATTTAATAATTCTACAGACAACCCGATGTACACAAACGCCATTCTTAAATCTACTTAACACAAAGATGAGATAATAGTCAATCACGGATTAAAGGCAGAGGTCAAAGTGAGTTCGGATATTCGAAATTAACCATTTTTTGAAAAAACATCCTCAAACTTATTCACTGAGATAAAAAACACATCTTCCACCATTATGTGTGACTGACATGTTTGGTTTGACGTCGATTTTCAGTTGTTTTAATATGCCGCTGGGGGCAGCACAGCAGCACAGAGAAATGGCAACTCTGTGTAAATAATGAGATGGCAACATATAAATAAAGAAATACCTGTACCAAAAACTTAGTATCTAATAATTGCCAGATTAATTGTTTTATATTAATTATAAAATGTATATTTTTTAATAAAATGATATTTTTTATGCCTCTTGAAGAACTGAATACTCTTGAATTTGTAAACATACATAGATTGAAGAGTTTTATTTAGTTGTACCAAATCGCATGATCTTCATCATGATGATGATGAAAGGAAGTCATGCTTTCATGCTATCTTATAAATTTTTCCATTACGCTAAAACCGCTAATGAGTGGTACATACAATGTATTGGAATCACTCATGTTGAATGCGTTATTGAAATATGATCATATTACATAAGAATAATATTTTCTATCTTTTGCCAACCAAATTGGGTATAACTATTAGCTTAATAACAAAAAGGGTGATAACACCCTGCTGAAAAACTACACACCTATCTCACTTCTGAGTCATGTTTAGGGGAGACTGGGTAACAGTGAATCATTTGTTTTAAAGAAGTGTTACTCCGTAGTTTATGACAAAATGATACATCTTTGAAATGAAATGATAATGCAAATATCTAATATCTAAAATAAGAGATATTTCATTGCGTGTGTTATACATATTTACAAGGTATAGGCACTTTAAAAAAAATAGAAATGATCCACTGTGGCCCGGGAACGGGTCACTTTGGATCACTGCACGGGTAACACTGAATCGGCTGGGGCACTCAAATCAATCGCAAAGAAATATTAAAAAAACATAAATTTTCATCTTCTATCTTCTATATATATAAAAATGGATTGCTGTTCCTTAGTCTCGCTAAAACTCGAGAACGGCTGAAGCGATTTGGCTAATTTTAGTCTTGAAATACTCCTGGAAGTCCAGGAAAGGTGTAAAAGGTGAGAAAAATTGGAATTATTGCCAGGAAAACCCTAAAAACAGCCCTTTTCTATTTCCCATACAAACGTTTTTTTTTTGACATTAGATTTGACAACTAACTAATATGTCAGTCATTCTGTTTGATTGAAACAGGAGAAACCTGATTAATTATGGCCTCTAAGACGGAATAGAGTTCGCCCGGTCAGCTATACCTACATATATTACTCTTGACCAAACTAACGCGGACGAAGTCGCGGGCAAAAACTAGTACTATTATAATACATATTTCTACTTGTACTAGGTTCTAGACAGTCTTTTACGTCAAAATAATGACGTGACATTTTCTAAATTATCGAAGAACAAACCAACATTATAGCGATTGAAAGACGACCTCGCAACGGCTCTTATTTTTAGCCATCCGAAATAAGTTTTAGTGTCAGTGGTGGCCTAGTGGTCAAAAGGCCCGCCTCTTGTTGCCGAGGGTGCGGATTCGATCATGGCAAGTACCAATGTGATTTTTCCGACTCATATGTACTTTCTAAGAGTATTTAGACATCACTGACAGACGGTGAAGGAAAACATCGTGAGGAAACCTGGACTTATAATTTCACAATTATAAGTTTGAAATCGCCAATCCGTCTTGAGCAAGCGTGGTGAATGATGGTTAATGCTCAAATCTTCTCCATGTGAGAAAGAGGCCTTTGCTCAGCTGTGGGCTCTGATAGGCTGATGACGATTACGAAATAAATTTTAGAGCATTACTTATCTGTTCTTCAGTATGAAGTCCGATAGTAGTCTTTCTTACTACATTACAAGGCATTTTTACCTAAAACATAAAGTAAAATAAATCTTAGCTTGTTAAGTTACAATGGATGAACAGTTCACTGTGACCCCATACAGGATGATTCACTGTGACCCATTGATCGTAATAGAAAAAGAATATAAACCAAAAAAAAACTATCTATCTTGAGGACAAATCAATATGTATTACAATGGATGTAAGGTATGACAAGTATACGTCATTGCAAAAACATCGACATTATTTATTCAATTAGGAATTAAATAAATTTAAAAAACTCGTAAAAAAATAGATTAGGTACTTATGTAGGGTCCAGAGTGAGGCAGCGCATGCTCCCGTTTCGGGGGGCGCCGGCGACTAGTGCCTCGCGAACAGGTATAACCGAGCGGCAAATAAAGGTTTTTTTTTGTGTGCATGAGTGCAACATATACTATGTTATTGTACATTATCCACTGTGACCCGCGATTCACTGTGACCCAGTCTCTCCTACACATCCGTGTGAGATGATATTACCATCTATTCATTTGCTACAGCTATATATGTATGTGTGCCCAGTGTCTTTGCATGCGAGCATGTACAATATATACTTTTCTGAGATACATATTAGATCTTTTATAAATGTTTTTTTAACTAACGAGGATATGTGTTAGATGTTAGTGAGTGGGATTCCCGGGTACCTACAAATATAATCTAAAATATATTTGTAGGTACGTACCTACTATTCGGAATGAAATGAAATAATTGGATAAATTTAACGTTCGTAAAAAAGCGTAAATGCTTATCTTAAGAAGAGGAGGAGGAGGGAAAATTGATAATAAAATAGAAGATCCATATTATGTCAGTGAGTGTCACTTCATAAATTTGTATGTATGCATGTACACACAAATTTCTTATATAGGAAGATTGGTTTTAATTGCTTGTTACCTGTGTTTATAGTCTTTAGTTTTCTTTAAGCATGCGGAACAGATGTAAGATACATAATAAAAACAAATATAGGTATATTTTTTCACTTTTCGAGTACTTAGTTCTTAGTTAAATTTTATTAAAAGAAAATTAAATAAAAACAAAGAATATGTTTCTTATCTATTAAAAAGATTGTTGCAGAACTCCTTATTTAAAATTAAATATGCCTTGAAATTATATAAAACTTAAAAGGAGGTTAGTTTAAATCTTTAAAATTTTACAAGTTACAATACTTATTACAGTCACATTTTGCCACAGGATAAATAAAAGAAGGTTTTTATTAAATCATTTATCTAATTATAATCACGTAAATTATATTTATAAGCCAAAAACAATAAATAAAGGAACAATTCAACATATTTCACTAAAATGACAATAATCTGTCTAAGATTAACTATGCGCCCAAAACATTGGGTAACTTCATAACATAACGTAAAGAATAAGTATAACATGTTAAATAAGTTTTTTCAGACAAATAAATGAAATACCACAATAATAAATAATTAATTGTATCTACAAACTAACAAAGTTAACCTTGTTCTTACATTGTCTTAGATTTAAAAAAAATGCTTTTGCTTCACTAATAAATTATTATTATTATAGCAAAAGGACATTTTAGAATTATGTAGATAGAATTTTAAATTCTTAACAGTTTCATCAACTTTTATTTTGACATGTTGAGATAAAAATATAATTCAAATCAAGAATAATACCGCCGCTCAACCGTTAGAACATTTATTTTTTTTAATCTCGTAGTCCGTAACATTAGCAGGTTATAATAAGTTAAGCACGTGCAAACATTTTTTCACATTGGGAAATTGATTTCAAGTACCTACCAGCAACACCATCTTAAAAAAATGTGCCGTGATGGATATTAATATAAGAAAGCACTCTTTGCCACTATATATTCTAACAGAGTATAAAAGAAACCATTAGGATAATATGAAATGGTTTTGTTATACAAGACTAAAAATGGGTTTGCAGAACAAAACATAGATTTGATTTGTAAATTGCATGTTATGCGTGTACAATACAGTATTATGTACATATAACACTGCACGTTTTTGCACTTCATTTTAAATTGTGTGACTATCGAAAAATCACCGTTGATTAAAATTAAATATTAAAAACAACTAAACGTGGTTTCAATGCTATTACCTATATAACTTAGCAACACGATAGTTGGAATGTCAGATTGTAATTATTATAAATTTTATTAAGTACATGTAAGATAGTCTTAATTAATTTACAGGTAAATTATTACAGTTAAATTACTACGTTCTACTTTTCACGATTTTGTTCTTTTCCTTTCGTGCTTTTGACAATTACTTTCAAAATCTCATCAATCTGTATTAAGTTATTCCAACAAACAGATATATGTAGATAGATACAAATCTATTATCACGAGATAACTCCGATAAGTATTATTGATTTCTTACGTTAAGGCAAATTGCTGTTTAACTAACTGTCTGGAATATAATAATATTAAGAAAAGTTATCTCCTTGAAAAAATTCTGTATATACATTAAGTTATTAAATTATATTTATATTTCTAATACTGTTTCATTATTAGGTACATAATGCGTGATTACTAGGTATTCAAAATGCCACCCGCACAAGGTTCGAATTATCATCAATGAAAATACTTCCGTCATTTCTTTGGTAAACTATACTTTGGCTTATATTTTTATGACAGATTTTATTAAAACTTTTGCAATGTTTCTTTCGAACGGGCGTAATGAACTTGCTTACTAGTTATCTTCAAATAGTATTTCTCGGCTTCAAGTGTTTGTACATATAATATCTTAGCCATATTTGATACTAATATATGTAATTACACAGTACCTATTTACCTATTTATTTACATCAAGTTCTATGTTTATACTTTTAATGTTTATCCTTAACTCATGTTTTACTTCAATCAGAAGAACGTATTTAAACACTAGGTCTAAATGTACAAACACCTTTTAAAAAGATAGCTAACCTCTAGAATATATAATTGAATATACCTACTATTATTAAGTACAAGATTTATTCGTAAATATTGGTGTTTAGGGACTTGTCTCCGTGTGGACAGCTCTACCGGTGACGTCAAAATAGTTAAGTAAGTCATAAAGGATTTTAGACATAGAAAATTATATTTTGGAATACAAATTTCATTGTTTTTTTAATATATTAAGATTTCTTAAAATAATTATTCAGGAAAAAATAAATATTTATCTGGAACTACAAAATATATTATAAATACTTAGATTTTTATCCTTGGAATAGATGATTTTTTAAACTTAATATTTATTTTATAATAACTATGAATTAACAATGTATAGGTATTGTAGTTAAACATGAAAAAGCTCTTTGAGTTTATAAAAGTAGTTGTGTATAGGGATCATGTATTTTATCTCTTAGATGGTCGTCTTTCTAAATTTTGACAATGAAGCTCGATTCAATATATACATATTTAGACGTAATACTGTAAACAGACATTGAGCTATCATCACAAATAACTTAAGTACTAAATATAATTTAGGTATTTGTATATAAGTATTTACTTAACCTATATACAGGTATATGTATTTGTATTTTTTACATATTTAGTTAAGCTCAGAAAAAGTTTGAAATGTATATATGTTAATTTTATACATAAACTTCATTAAAATGCTTAATTTTTGATAGCCTATTCTCGTTTAATGATATAGGCTTATTAAATTACCAAAGACGCAATAAATTATAAGAAATAGTTTAAAATATACAGTGAATGGGTGATAAAATAGAGTTGTGTACTAATATAACAAACATGTAAATATTACGTAGTTAAATAAATATTTTTATATAGACTTTGTTTCAAATTATTTTTTACAACCATTTTAAGAAAAGGGATTTTTACATTTGTATATACATGTATTATTTGTTCTAGTTAAACATATAACGAAAGAAATATAGTCTATGTTGATTATTATTCTACAGTGGACATATAGAACATTAAGTATAATTTATTTTAATCTAAATGAACAAGAATGTCTTTCTGTCGCTGCACTGAGGCATAATGTAAAACTTGTTTCGTTTTCACTTTATACAGAAGAGTTTATAAATACTGTAACTTTCTGAGCGTCAGAAAATTGGCATTCTATGGCCGGGTCCTATCCGGGCAGAGGCGCTTCTTCATAGAAATCTGGCTCATCATCGACGTCAATATCTTTTTGGGATCCATCCAACTGAAATTAAAATACAATAAATATAACAACTGAGATAGCCATTGTCTAGGTTTGTTTTATTTTAGGATTATATTGAGGAATATTTTTGTTACTACGTCATGTCTACGACTTTGAATGATGGGAATTGAGATTTTTGTGATAGCATATGTCAAATTTATTCAAGCTTACCGCACGCAGTTGTAGCGGGGTAAAGATGTAACTGATTGCCATTCGCAGTGGCACCATGAGTACCAAGAAGAAGGGAAGCGCTAGGGAGAACTTCGAAGACTTCACAGCATACAATACACATACACCAGCCATTTGGATAAGAGTGTAGAGATGCATTTTAAATGTCGGCACCTAAAAAAGTGGTTAAAGTAATGATAGGTATTTATTGAATTAAAAATATATTTTTATTTTGTTCTACTTACTCGTCTCACGTAAGGTACTTGCGGGTGGTGCTTCACAGGTTTTAGTAGTAAAATGCATCGATCCCAGAACTGAATTCCTCCAAGCGCAGAAATTCCCATATAGAGAAAAACTCCAAATAATACAGCCATTGGAACTAATCTTAGCCAGCCGGAAGCCAAAACAGATATGCCAACGAGAAAAGCAACTAGTAATCCAGTAAGACGTTGTTCTGAAAATTTTTATGTCATAAGTGATTTCTGCAAATAAAGTGTTACATACATACTGCGAATAAAGTACATAAAACTTTATACGTATGGTGTATTATGTGTGGTTTACAGTATTAAAAGAAATAGGGTTTCTGTAAATCAATGAAGCATCACAAGAGCTTGTCGCTTCTGTTAAATCGACAGTGTGTTTTGAAATAATTTTAGACGAAATAATCGCAATTTCTTATTAACAAAATAATCGCAATTTTTTATGTATATGTAATAATGTTATATAATATCAATCGCAGGACAAAAGGATATCAACATTAGACACATACCCTTAACTTCAACAATATAAGGCTTGTCACCGGGGGCATGAGTTGTTGACATAACAGTTAAGGCGGAAACATGGCTCACAGATCGTACTGTGGCTACACATTGCCATGGAGCCCCAAACATGCCACACACTGCGTTCACTAACGACATTACGACTATGTCCATGTGGAATCCACTGCCTTTCTTTAGTTTTCTCTCCGGTTTGTCAATAATTAACCTGTTTAAAATGTTATACGTTAGGTACAAACTAATAAAATTTATAACAATTCGCAATGCTTTTATGTTTTTATTCGCTTGGCTTGCAAAGACATGATTTAAATTAAAAAAACCTCTATACTGATATGAGTACTCATATTCATTAAAAGCAAAAAAAAACTAAATTGTTTCCTTTTGATTTCTTACTCTGCGATGTGGGTTTCCATAAAGACGATGATGTAAACCATGAGCGCCGGTAAAACCATAGCAATTGTTGCCCACAGTGGTATAGTTTCAAGTCCAGTATTAAGGGGTACCAGCCAAGAACGATTTGAGGTTGGGCTCAGACCATCCGGTACTTGTAATTTTTCTGTCCATACGGGTACTAAGCAGGATATTCCAACCATTAAAACAATCGCAATCGGCACTCCGAAATCACCAAGTGCACGTCGAGCCTGTTTAATGAATATAAAAATTAACGCTCAAATCTTCACAACAACACTTTAATAGCAAATAAAACATAAATATTGTAATATTATAAACTTACACTTCGACCTAGAAATTTTCCGTTGCGGAATATGCGGAGATAGTAAGCAAGAATAAAGGTGCATAGAGTCAACATTGTACAAAACAAAGCTGTATTTGGTTTCGGTGTAAGTAACATATTTGTAGGCGGTAGAATTGGAGGAACTGTTAGATTTCCTGGAAAGAATTCTCTATAAGTAAAATATATGTGTATTCTCTATAAGTAAAATATAATAGAGGTTATAAAAAACAATAAATAATGTTTTAAAAACTGTGAATAGGAAACTGTGAAAACGGATAGAAATACCTGTAAAATTTGAGTTGACCATATCAACGCCAGCAGTGGCATTTTCAAGTGTGTTATTGCCGCAATAGTCATAACCGAGCGGATGAGCACGGTAAACATTTATTATATTCGTAACAGGTTCAGATATGAAAATAAGCGATATCAAAAATGCGAAAATATCTTCAGTGAATCTGAAATTACACGATTTATTTGTAAAGATTGGCTAGACATCTGTAATAAGCAGATAACTTAAATAATTTATTAAATGCTCGGTATTTAGACGACTAGTGGTACTGACCTCGTAATTTTCTTTACGGCGACACTACCTTCAATAGAGGCAACACATAGAGCAATCACTATCATCCATAGACCACAGTACATTCTTGCGGCCAAAAAATCAAATCCGTATGAGCGACAAAATACAAAAAGCGATTCGTCCAAAAGCAGCAAAGGTCCAGTAGCCCCAGTAATCATCATTGGCTGACCTGCTACTAGGGCGAAAAATAGTCCACCTACGCAAGTAAATACCTAAAACACAAATTAATGGCATTGTAAAATAGTACTCACAAATAAAGATTATTCTAACATTGTTAAATTAGATGAATAATAGTTTATAATGCTTAAAGTAAAATAGTAATTTTTAGATGATTTTTCTTAAAACATTTGTTGTTAATTAACCCCACATCTTTTATTTTTTCAAGATAAAAACGTTGCAACAATATTTGGCAACGGTCGGGACCACCGATCACTTTTTATTTATTATATTAGTTATATATACAAAAACTGTTATAGTTATATATAAAACTTGCAAGGATATCTTACCAATGTTTCCGAGATACCAATCTGTCTATCAGTTTTTTCAGCTAAGAGACCTCCAAAAGTAATAGCTGAAGAAAGTGCAGCGAAATACATGAATATTGTTGCTGCTGCACATTGACCATTTAATGCATCACGAAAATCGGATATGTAGTGGGGGTAACGCCTTTTAATATCTCTTATGACGCCTAATATAATTACAAAAACATAATATAATTACGTTATAATTACTACAAAACGTATCTAATAATAATAATTCATATATAAAATTATATTTACCACCAAAAAGACGTCCACTTTTGGATAATGGATCATCTCGTTCTTTTTCTGGCAATCCACCAGTTTCACCAGCCAACAAAGCCTTTTTTTCATCTATTGGAGAAGTTGTTGTAATTTCAATGCCCTTTTTACGCTCCAAAGCATCACGCTTGCGTTTTCTTATCATTTCACTTTTAGCACGTAATTCTTCGAAAGGTAATAGAGCCTGCCGCTCCCAATCGCCAGGCGGTAACACTATCGAATCGTCTAAGAATTCATTAATTGCCGATAAGAGTTCACGTCTATCATCAGCCTTGTACGCAATAGAATGAAAGGAAGGGTTTGACATAAGAGTAGAAATTGATCTACCCACTTCATGATAGTCAAGATCAGCTGATGTTGGCCCAAGTAATATGAACATAAAGCGGACTGGTATGGGAACCTCTGTGATGGATGGCATTAATATTCCTTGAGCGAGACGTACAAAGGCAATCGTTGGTTGATCTAAAAATCCAACTGCACCAACGAGGACTGTTGTCGCTTCCGCATCGTCAGGTATACGTTTCATGATTGAATCATTGTGACCTCGTCTTAATTCATCTTGAGAACCCACGGGGGCTGTGGCTAAATATTCTACTTCGCGTGTATCAATGCCCGCCACTGATGTTTTTGCGCGAGCTTCTGTTCGATCTTGTGGTAGAGCATTGGAGCTTCTTCGTCGCTTGTTTTCCGAAAGATTCTAAATAAAAATAGGCCACGTTATTTGAAAAGTATTCATATTTAATGATCAATGTTTTATATAATTTTTTTTTGTATGGACGTATTTATTTCTAATTATAGATTTAATGATTTCAGTAAATGGTTTCTATAATATTCGGCCAAATAAAAACAAAGCATGTGTAATAGTAGTAACAATTAAAAAGTTCTACGGCATTTACTCTTTATTTAATGTTAGGCGCTTTTTTCTATTACTTTGTTTTCTATTACTTGATTAACAAAACGGGCAATATAATGTTTCCCTACTTTCGAAACCATTTGAATTGTAGAATGGAGCTAAAATGATTTATATTAGAAATAATATTGGACATAATACTTTAAACTAACATCGTTTCTACACAAATGTTTTAAAATCCTATTATTAAAAGAGATTATATTTATCGTTTGACACATAATAATTTATTTACAGTTTGTTGTAAATTACAATTATAAAACACACCAGTCAAGTTGATTTATGGTAATTATTGACATTCATGCTTAACACGTTTTGTAATTATCAAATCGACAATTTTTTTTGTGGATGAGCAGAAATGAATCAAATAAAAGCTATAAATAACCGTGACTCCTGTCAAATCGAGACACGGAAAATCTTTAAACATAAACATCTGTTGTTTCCAGTAGTCTTATTTTATACATGTGATACGTTCAACATATTATGATTGATGAGCTATGATTGATGTTACACACATAATATAATATCGGTTCTAAAATATAATGCAATGTTTTAATAACATAGTTTGAAGATGTGACAAACTAGTAACAAGGGTACGTGCAAGATAAAGATAATACGAGCACAGATCATACGAGAATATGAGAGCTGTGTCGACGACAGGGACCCATGGCAGAGCATGTGGAGTATCGCTGGCGGGCACCACCACCTTCCTCCAACCACAGCGACTGTACAACACATTATATCACTTCCCTACTACATATGAAACCTAATATTATTCCAACAATGTTTGTGGCAGATATTAATTAAAAAATCATTCCGCTAGCATATATACATATAAAGTGGATGTCTTAAATAGCGTTTTGAAATTAATCTAACATAAAAAAAAAAAAACATATAGCTTTACTTCATGTCTATAATAAGTTCAGTTTATGTATGCGAATTACTAAGCGGATTCTCTTGAGCAAACGTAACAATGCAACAAAATCACGTGTAGACTCATATTAAATGTAGATCAAAAGGTTATCAGTTTTATTTTTATCTTAACTGAGATTCAACAAAAGCATTTTATAAATAAAATCTCATCAGATTCAAAGTTGATTGTATCAGTTTTTGTATTCAAAATATTATGAAAAAATGGATTGCATAGGTCACTAGCAAAATTATCAGATATCAAATGGTATAGGAAGAATAATTGTAAATTTCAAATACAAATTTAATGATTTGAAGAACGAAAGATGTAAAACTATAATATTTATTTTTTTTCTAAAATTATAAGTACTCTAGGATTTGTTGCTACAATTGGACAATAATGTTACTGAAATATTCCGCTGATTGTATTATGTAGATACTTACTAAATATACGATTGGGGATTTCTATATATTTATCACGAGGTAAGTTATTGATATCTCTTGGCCTCGAATATTTGACATATATCAAAGCGTATACGCCAATTTTTATCGTAATCCTTGATAAACTTGACTTTAACTGAGTATTTCAAAAATGTAAGGATTTAGTATTGTTATTATCTTGATATCGCTCATAATTTAAGGGGTTTCGAACAAAATATTTCCACATAATTTCGTACTTAAAATTAACACATTTCTGTGATCATATATTTTTTTGGCAGAAAAACTATTCTATAAAAATAAGACTATAGATTCAAGGGCACTTTTCCCAGAATTATTTTCAAATTCAATTATCATCAAACGTTGATGCTATTAACAATATATTTATTGAAATGTGTGTACTAAAATAAATTTTGTAATGATGTGACCTATGTTTAATTGAAGATTCACAGAAATATTCTTAATGTACCATGTAAACAGAATATAAGCCATTTTTATTGTTAAATATTTTAAAATATAAAATATTGTGAAAGACTCATGTATAAATAAAAAAAAACATGGAAGATATACAACAATACATCACAAACATTATTAATCTTTTATCGGTTATGTAAGAAAATATCTGATTCAATTTTAACAGATTGTGGCGATCATATCGTTACATTACATAAAATATTTATTGTGACACTATTACTTCAATTAATATAAATATGTCACTAAAATTATGTATGACAAGAGTAGCATAATAAGAAAAAAAATAGCCACAATCCAACTTTTTACAAATTATACACAAAAATACTAAAAAGTTTGCAAAATAAATTTGAGGGACTTATGATTCTTAGTAATATTATCAATATTTTATAAAAACTCTGAATTAAAAAAAATCTTAAAAAGATAAAGCTATTAAATCTATTTTGCCAAATAAATATCTACAAGCCTTTATCAATATATTATATACCGGATGAGATTTTTCTCTTATATAAAGTGGCAAAAGATAGAAAATAGAGGGAAAGGATAAATAAATTGTCATTGAAGTCGAAGATTTCCAATTAAAATCTGCTATATATTAGTTAAAGCAATATATTCACCTGTAAGCTTGTATAGGAGGAGTGCTTTCGACCACTTATGGAAAATCGGAACCTTTCATCATGTACGTGTCGATGGCGAAGGAGTAGAGATCTCATTACGACTGGTTTGTCATCTTCTTCTATCAATCCCTCATTGACCATACTTTCTACGACCCTACAAAAATTAAATAAAATAACTAAAAAGCTTAGATTTTGTAAAGGTCAAATAATAATGGGTGCTATAATAAAATAAGCTGAAGAAATTCTTTGAAAAATTATTCAAAACCAATTATAAAAACATGAAATTATTTATTTGAAAATTAAATGTCGTACGATTTCATTTTTTTATGTTGTACATGGCCAAAACGACTATTAAATTACCTGTATGCAACACCAGGAAGGTCTTTCTCATCGAGGTCAAGTAGTACCACTCCAGTTTCTAAGCAACGTCGTAGGTTTAATAGGGAATGGAAAGACAGAGAGGCTACGTGGGGCCGACCCCATCTGGCAGATCCTTCTTCAACATCTTCTTCATATTTAATCCAACGTGCAGTTTCCTTCCATTCCGTGTCACCATCTTCCGTGGCCAGTAATTCGTCCAGTTGAACAAACACCTTTGTCACAGACATTCCGAATAAAAATGGTTCGTATAGAAGTTACCCTACTATATAAGTCAATGGTATATCTTTTGATTATGACAATCTTTTCGCGATTTATCGGCAAAACAGTATATGTAATTAGGATGATAAGAGATATGTCTTACAGGAAATGTTTTAAAATTTATACGTACCGAATGTGGGCTGTGGTCGTACATTTTTTTCAGAGTCAAGTCGGAAAAAATGTTTTGTATTTTATCGCCTCCATCCTTGCGACCTACGTGAACGGTTGGACTCTAAAACCATAATTTTTTTCTTTTTATTACTTTTCTCAAATATTTAAACAATAAAATACTGATATATAAATTTATTAACACTATTACAAAAATGTATAAATGTTATTCCTGTATAATTGTAGTAAGGGTGCTCCATATTACTATTCCATTGATTAAGTCATTAAATTGCAAACTCCAGACTCAAAGAGGGAGTTACAAACATATAAAACAAAATATAAGTGAAGCAAATAAAAATCATGTAAAATTTATATTAATTACTAGAAGACCTGGCGAACTTCGTATCGCCCTATAATCAAGAAATATCTATTACGTCTTTTTATTTATATTTTTGGAGTTTACCTGTAAGCCATAAATCTCCGTGTTTTGAAGTGCGACAGAATGATTGACATATTAGTTAGTTGTCAAATCTAATGTCAAAAAAAGGTTTGTATGGGAAATAGAAAAGGGCTGTTTTTATTGTTTTCCCAGTAATGAATCAATTTTTTTCAGCTTTTATACCTTCCCTGAACCTCCACGAACATTTCAAGACTAAGATAAATCCGTTCAGCTGTTCTCGAGTTTTAGCGAGACTAAGGAACAGCAATCCATTTTTATATATATAGAAGATTGGACATAAAATAAATCACAAAATTACTAGACAACTTCGAAATCCATAATATTCTGCAAAGTTCATTGGGAAAAATATAAATCATAATAGCAGTACTTGTAATCTCAACATTTGATAAATAAATTAGTAGATTATTTTTAGCTACCCTGGGCTGAAGTTTAAGTCTCCGTAAAACCCGCTGGTCATCAATGCGATGGCTCCGGAGTTCATCAAGATCAGCTTCGGGTAATGGTTCATCCGTTGGTGCCGCAGACACGTGTCGCTCGCCATCTGCCCCACCACCTCTCGCCCCCTCTTGTAGGGAATATTTTCGTGATTTGTGATGCAGGTGGCGACTACAAAAAAAATAATTTTTTTATTATATGATATGTACTTTATTACTTAAGGTTTTTTTATAGATATCTTCGATTTTTTTTGAGATAAAAACATATACGTCAGAAATAGATTAGTGTAAGAGAAGTCAACAGTCATGTTTTTTAAAAATACATTTCCTAAAAATAAAATATATTTTTAATTTTTCAAATTTTTATCTTACATAATACATTATACCTTTTTAAATTATGTAATATTTAGTTTTGGGGCTACAAACAAAAACAAAGGTAGTGTATACGGGATCAAAATCTAGTAATTGATTGCAGATAGGCGACAAGACGCTCGTCATGTGACATTTTGAAGCGCTAACGTAGCTCTTAAACTTTAATTAATATTTAATGAAAGCTGTCCTGGTATTCCGGAATATCCGTTATACAATAAAACATTTGAACGTCTAAGTTATATCTACATTTAAATTGCATTTGTTTACAAATTTAAATCAACGATCAAGAAGCAAATGTGTTTAATCATCGAGAAGAGTATATGTACATATTATGTATATATTACATAAATTCTGAAGTCAAGAACTTCAGAATTCTTCATCTGAAAACTTCAGAATTTTGAAGGAATTTTTTTTTTAGTTAACTTTTATTCTATGTGATGTGGGTTTTTCTGAATAACAAGTATCCAATGTCCGTGTCCTGTTTCTAATCTACGTTTCCACCAATTTTCACGCAAATTCATAGAACCATTCTTCAATTACAGCTACTGTAATTAACTAAAGATAAACATATATAAATGTACTATATATTGGATATCAGGAATTATTATAATAATGACGAACTTAAGTTTCAACGCTATACATAGAAGGGGTAATTTCATCTATCTCCTATATTAAAGTAAGAGCGAATTAAAATATAGAAAATCATATTGAGGTTTCATACTATCATATGCATTTTCTTACGATTATATTAACAGTTTTATATCTAAAATATAAATTTCCATTCTTAAGAAGACACATTTGCATAATTTTATTGATAACTTTCTCCATCAATATAGCAATTGATGTTTGAGTCGTAGTTGGTTCTCACCGTTGATGTTGTACATCGGAAGCCCGGGAATACGTCACAGGCATATCAATACAAAAACTAGCACTGAACACTAACTCGCATGTTCAAGAGGCCGCATTATAGGCGCACCGCCCACATCTGACTTACGAGTTACAAGCTGGAACCTGAGTTCACTTTGGTTCTAGGTACAATGCCAAAGTCACGCGACAATTTTCTATTTCGGTAACGTAGGTGATACTTCCGAGCAACTACGTGTACAATGTCTTTGGCAGAGATCATTAGCCAAGTTTTAATTTTTTTAACAAAACTTTAACAAATTTTCTAGAGCTATTTATAAAACCACGGGTTTTCAAACGTTTGATTCGAAACATATGTATATACTTTTTTCATTACTCAGTTTTATTCCCAATGGTTATAAATGTTCCAAGAAGTAATATTTACGTTGGTTCAAAAGGGTGAATCTTCAAAGAGAAAAATAAAATTATATTTATTTATTCACGAAATGATGTGGATGCAATCTAATATTTTTATTTTATGTAAAACAGACACAAAAAGAAAACCAAACAGAAATAGCTATAAAACAAACCGAATTTTAAAACAAAAAATAAAATATTGGGTAAAATTAAATTAATTTTAATCGACAAATTTCCCACATTCGGCTCTTTAAACACGTTTCTGTTTTTTCCTATTATGGTATTATACATAAAACGTATTTTTTAATGTTATATTCCATTTTTTGTTTTGTTTTGTTACGTTTTTCAAATGGTTATTTATTTAATGGTTTTATTGTATTTTTGCTTAATTTCAGTAAAGTGCGTACGTGTTTCTTTGATGACGACGTTCTTCGCTTGCATCATCTAGTGGATCAGCCCTGGCACGTTCACTGTCGAACTGCACATGACGATCTTCCCCACGTGGCGTACTGCCTGAACCAGAGCCAGAAATATGTCCTGACATCTGTTAAAATTAATATTGTTTTAAACAGTATGCATTTGTTGTTTTTAAAGAATTTTTACAGTTTTTTACATCTAAATATAATTTAGTTTCTTAGCAAACGACTTTTTATATTTATATTTAAAAAACAAAAGTTATTACATACTTGTAGTGGAACTTATTTCAGTTAATTACGTTATTATTACTACTACAAGAAAAGACCCATGCAATAGTTAGTTTTTATTTATATTATTATTAAAAGAATATCTTATTTATATTACAAGCAGAAAAATTTCATATAACCTCACTTTATACGTAACACAAATAGTTAACTTTAATAAAGTTGCATACAAATATTAACCATCGCATTTTTATTTCACAGTTACCTACCGTTGAAAAATGTAAATTTATAAGTAAATGCGAGTAAGTGTGTCAATTGTCTTGTTTATTATCTTTGAAGACCTTGCCCGATGGGAGACCATATCAGGCTGATAGTCGGTACTAAACTGCTGTTTATTGTAGATCCGGCATGTCCTTGAAAAATGTACGTACCATATTGATCGTAAAAAAGCAAGCTTATTTAATGAAGTTGGATATCGTAGTGTAGTGGATTGTCACCGATGTCGCGAAAGAGAAGGTTATATGAAATTACTCTGCGGATACGTAATGTTCCAAAAATAATCCTAATTATATTATTATAATGAAAAATTTCGTTACTTGTGCTTCCGAACTGGAATTAAGTTGCTCCCTACTGGCACGGGATTGTTCAGAACTGCTGGTCCTCATGATATCGTCTGAAAATAATAAAAATATAGAACATCCTTCTTAATTAATATCATTTAATGTACAAGTTACGAAAACTCATTAATAAAAAAATATTTTTTCAATTATTTTGAAACCAAAAAGACTTTCTTTATTGAAGTGCATGTTTTCTGTAAACATTTTTCTGCTTTACTATTCTATATAAACTATCTATATACTACTATAATACCTGAAGATTTGTTGCTTATTTTTATTTTTATTTTTATGTGTTGATATTGTAATTTATCTGTTCGTTATTTTTAAAATTATAATTGCATTTTTATTAAATTATTGAAATTCACAGGATTAGAATCATTTATATACCCAGTAGTATGTAGTAATAAAGATTTGAGGTAGGTACTTGCCCCCGACAAACTATGAATCGTAAATTATCACTTCTATCACGTAAATTGTGAAAACCAATTTAAAACATATTCCGACTATTGGCCACTTACGCTTAGTATAAGTTTGCGTCGTCACACTACATTTAAAGTATTATTCTTTTTTCATACATAATCCACATTAATACTTTAATATGCGGAGATTTATGAATAAAAAGTATGAACGTTTCGTGTGTAGCGTCATAATGTCAGCTTGGACTTAGGATACAGTTTTATACCACGACATAATGAGTTTTAAAAAAAATGTTTACTAGTTTTTGAGGCTTGGTAAAATTTTGATAGATATTACCATGCATTTGTCACCATCAAAAAAAAAAAGAATTACAGACTAGTGAATATAAATATAAAAAAACAGTAGATTTTTGTAGCTCACTTGTTTGACAATAATAATTTTTTTTTTTACTATTACCTGGGTATAAAAAAGAAATATGTTAGATTTTCTTAAATATTAAAATTATGTTCATTCACAATACTACTTACTTTTTAAACAGAGAACAACCTCAGGTTCTGAAAAAATCTGATAAACTAGTGGACCTACAAGGCAAAGTCCAAAGTTTCTCGTAGTAAAATCAGAGGTAGAAAATTTAGGTGCGTTAATTAACAATATATTATGAAATTAAATTATAATTTATTTATCGATGATTGAAAAATGTTTCTGCCTTGTATAATTATTGAATAAGGTTTCAAATTTTATGAGAAAAATTATTGAATGTATTGTTTAAATAAGACTGTTTCCAGAAACTAATCGAAGAAGATAATCTCATAGTTATGCCAGATATAACCCTTAAGTAGCGGTTTGGACTAACTGAATTCAGAATTTTTATTATATTTAAAATTGTGACAAATTAGCAGTCTCATAACCTGATTAAACAAGGCTACTATTATCCATAAATGCCTGAAAGTTTTATTAGAAGCTCAGTGATTGTAGAAAAATAAAGAGGAGTTATAGGATCTAACTGAAATAAATGAAGCACGAGGGGTTCTAGGACTCTTACGCATCACAGTAAATACAAATATATAGTTTCTTTAGCGCTATTCTTTGAGAGTGTTTTATTTTCAAAATTTCTTAAATTTTTAGTTATCGGAAGTTAATACTGTGAGCCGACAAACAAAATTACTATTATTTTCATTAATATGCATAAAATTCAATCATAATTTAAGCAATATCGAACTGATATTGATAAAACGGTGCTTATTATTATGATAAAAATAGAAGTCAAACATCAATTCGAAGTTTATTCTTTAATTAACTTATAAAATGTCAGAGGTAGGTCTAATAAAGGATATTATTTGGACTAAATTATAGATATAATAGTTAAAACTAATTTACAGCGACATCTGTTAGATACAGCTTACAATATTAGCATATCACATACTATGGCTAACAAGTGTTATCAATGTGGAAAATTCCTGTCACCAACAGATGGCGTGAAATGTTGCAAGTGTAGTTCAGTATTCCATCGAGCATGTACTAACATAAGCCCTAACTCTCGCATATCAGCCAAATGGTCCTGTCGAAGTTGTACAGAAAAAGGTAATACAGGGAACCGTAACACTGACAGCAGTAAAACTAAGCCAACTACTTCCACTGAGAGTCCTCTAAGCTTAAATGTAAATCCTGCGGAGAAATACGTAGATGCAGACATGGGAGAAACCAGCGCCAATAATACCCTGGTGCAGGAAATAAGACTCCTTCGGCTCGAAATGGCGACATCTCGCCAAGAAATGGCGAAATTAAACTCAACTATGAGTGAGTTCAATAATAGAATTAATAAAGTTGAGGAACGTATGACCGCTCTGGAGCAACAAGTCTCGAATCACAAATTCGAACACGACAGTTCGCAATTATTGCAAACCCAAATACAGCAATTGAAAGCAGACCTAAGCCGAAGAGAACAGGAGAGTATGTTAAACGACATACAAATCAGTGGGCTACCCGAACAACAGGGTGAAAACCTCATGCACCTGTGTCAGGTTATCACAAATAAAATTGGCACCGAAATTGACGCCCGTGATGTAGTTAGCGCCGAGCGAGTCGGACCAAGGCGAAGCGTAGCACTCAATGGCGAGCAGGCGCGTCCGAGGCCCGTAGTGGTCAGACTAGCGCGGCGTACACTGAGAAACGATATTATACAAGCGGCACGAGTGCGGCGCGTTATAGATACGTCGGGCATCATGGAGGGAGCGCCGAAGCGCATCTACATTAACGAGCGGTTAACGGCCACCAATCGACAGCTATTTCACAGGGCTAAAGAAGAAGGTAAGAAATGTGGTTGGCGTTACATATGGTCAAGAGATGGAAAAATATATGTGCGACGGGAACCAGGTTCATCCGCCCACCGAATTTGGTCTGATAACGATATTAATAAAATTTTTGGTGCAAGTCAGGTTGGCACAAATATAATTTAAGATTTAAAAAAAATATATGTATGCGTACCGGTTAAGCGAAGTCTTAAGAACTCGTTAGTCCTCATTATTTTGTTATTTAATAAAATTTTTTTGTTTCGTTTCTTAGTTTTTATTATTTATACACTTAAATAATATCAATATAGAACAATTTATGGTGGCTTATATTAACATGAATGGCAAAATATGAAACTTAATTATAATTGTAGTCGTGTCCTTGGCGGATGAGTTCCTCTATATATCAATTATATGTTGCTATGGAAACTTTATTAATTGTCATTCTGAAGCATTATTATTTTCTTTAATATTACATGTCGAATTATGTATATATCTATATCCTAATAAGTCTATGTCTAAAATAACTAATATTGTACAAAAATGATCAGAGAAAAAAAGGTTTAGAGTTGGTTTTTTTTTTTTTTTAGGTTTAAAAAGGTTTAGAGATTATATATGGCTGCTAGGTGACTTCAATATAATTTTTTTTAGATAAATAATCTTACACTCTCTCTTCTTAACCTTTCCTTTTATGTAATTCTGGTCTGATTTTATAAATTAAATGCCATTTTCATATTAAATTTTAGAAATTACTTTGTCACTGCACGTCATGGATGAAAAGGCTGCCACTGAAAATCAGTTTCTAGGAATTTCCTAGGTTATGCTGAGTGGCATACCTTTTTGGGACATAAGCTGCAGCACTTTTATTTTTTATTTTGTTATTTTTGTTATTATATATATATATATATTTTAATTAAGTCTTTGGTTCTAAGTATGTTCTGTATTATTATTATTGTATTTTGGTTTTGTTTAAGTTTCTTTTTTTTTATTTTATTTTATTTTTTTTTCTTTTGTACCGACTTATATTATAGTCTTATTATTTGTTGTTTCTTGTCTTCAATGTTTGTCAAACATTTATGTCCCAAATAAAGATTTACTTTACTTTACTTTTACTTTACTTAATATAGTTATGATTTGCTAGTCGCACGAAGTTTATCACAGAAACATACTTTGTCATTAAATAAAAGCCTTGTATTGTTAATGAATGGTAGTGGAATAAAAACAAAGTGGAAAAGGAAAGGATTAATTAATTAAGGAAAAAAATAATTATTTAATTATTCCAATATCGCATATCTGTAAGTGTAAACCCGTATAAATGATTCAGGGATTGATAAGCGATTTAAACTTATTAAAAATTACTAAATATAATCTTCGATAACCATAGTTTTGAGAGGAAATAATTTATATGAAAGTGTTCTCTATTCTACTGATTTAAGTGGGTTTAAATCTGAATCACTCTCTAATTATTATGGCATATTTTCCATCAATTAAACAATAAGTGTATAGAGTTTCGGCTTAAATCTTATAAGTATTTTCATGCAAATGAAAAAAGGTGTCGTGTATAGTAATATATGATTAAAGGAAACAAAATATACATTCAATTAAAATAAATCCGCCGATAGACTTTGAAATATTTCCGTTCATTAAATATACTATATTAATATAGAAAACAGTTATATTTTTTGGTTACATGAAAACAGTTATATTTTTTGGTTACATGAAAGGATTAAAGTATCTGAACCGTTGCAATTAAGCTCTCAAAAGCAAGGATTACATTTTAGTTATATAGTGAGGGTAACAAGATCTTTCATTTTCCCAATTCAATCATAGCATCCGATAATCGAAGAACTTTAATTGAATACTATATTGGTTTATTGCAAGCTTTGAGGTGTTATTTTACAAATATATTAAAAAGATACAATATGAATTTCAAATTTCATCAACTTATTATTTTTATAATACCGGAACCGGAAAGTTATATGACACCACCACTTTTAAAAATAAAAATTGTACAGATTTTATACAATCGGGGAAAGCGTACAACACATCATAAAATAATGATTCTTCCGACAGACGAAGGTTTATTGGGTTACATTTTCTCTTAATACTATGAGAATGGAAACATATAACAATAGAGGGATTAAAATATTTTGGTCTGGTTTTCAAGATAATTTTGTGTAGGGTTTCGTTTCAGTGAATATTAATTTATAAATGAAATATTATAACTTCAAAAAGAGAAAATCTAGAATTATGCTAATAATAAGCAATAAGGAATTGATTAGTATTATTGTATCACAAAAAAGTTTATTTATTAAATACATAATTTTTATTCGTTTTTGTCTATATTTTCAGTTAAATATTTTCTTTTTGCATTTTAATCTCGGAGTGTTTTATTTTTTTTAAATATATATGTATTAAAAATTAATCGTGAGTATTTATACTGATTTACCGTTGTAATAGTGTGGAAGTTTCACTTCACTTCACTTGTATTATTGATAAAGCAGTACTTACTATATAATAATATAAAGATAAAACTGACATTTTTACCTATACCAATCTAAGTTAGTAGTTTTATAAAAACGATTTAGTACTAATAATATATATATATTTTTTAAAATCATCCATAAAATATATACGAGTATATATGTCATTTACGTCACATAATAACGGTCGAAATGATATAAAATTTCATAATTTAAGCTTCAAGTATAATTTACCTTGCGAGTATGGAGGTGGCGGGGCTGCCGCATCTCTAACGGGCTCACCGCTGGGCTGCAGCCGAGTTGGCGGGTTATTCTCGTGCCAAACGACTCGCTCCATCTCCTCATCAAGACGCAGCTCGTCTTGATCCTCTCCCTGGCCACAAAAGCATTTACTCATTAAGGAACCTATGATTACTGGTGCATCCTAACACTGTCAAAAAGCAAGTGAGTTCGCGCGGTCCGTGATCCTGATGCACAAATGCACGCATGCGCCCAAATAATTTCTAGCTTCTAGATTGTATAATAAAATTAAATATCACTACTTTATTTATACTAATAGTAACAAAAGTGTCATCCTCATAGTTAAAAAATGTACAAATAATAATTTATTACGACGTATAATTTTTTCTGTGTAATTTATATAATACTGACGGCTATCCTTTTACAGTCTACTATGAAGGATTATTATAGGTAATTTCTATCAAGATGTTTTGCATAATCACCTGAAAGAGATTCAAAAAATAGGCATTAGGGGTGATTTGCAGTATATTAAGAAAATAATGTAAAATCATTTCGTCAAATTATGTGTGATTAATATGTTTTGTATTTTTAGGAATTGTTTGAGATAAAATTATAAAAAAGGAATGTAAATAGCTATTGATAAATCGAAGATATACAAGAATCTTCTCAAAAAGATATTTGAAAATGTGTTGAAGACCTAGTTTAGAAATAAGACTTACCCGATAAACAAAGGTTGAGCAATAAAAACATTAATTTTTTTAAAATTTTTGTCATCCTACGGTATACCTATAAAGGTATTGCATCATAAAAACTAAAAAATATAATTAACATTAAAAATAATCCTTTTATTTAATTAATAGTTCTCTGAGTAAAATACCTTTCCTAAATATTTATTTTAAAGTTGTTTTCTTTTTTAATGTATTGTCGTTTCATTAGAACCATCCATTTACTTTTCTCTTCTACCTATGTATCTAAAGAGATGAGAGTACACATATAGGATGTATTTAATTTAATCACCTTTATACCATCGCTTTCTAAGTGAGAAAACATTAGAATAGACATTTCATGGAAAGCAACAAATAATATTCTAAGAATACTAAATGTTTTAGAAATTTTTAGAATCGGTATATTCTGGTTGAAAGACATTTTTTCTAGCTTCTGTAAATATCATTAAGGGTGTGTCTTTATTTAAAATGAGTATAGGTTCATAAAATCACTTTATTATAAAATAATTTTGGCTAATAAATCACGTTTATTTTACATAAAAAAGTATAATTTATTAACGGCAATCTTATTATTGCAATAGAGCTGTATACAAGTGAAGGTCAAAAGTATAAAATAATAAAATTGTTGACCATTTTAATGGCTCACCAAAAATAGCACTATATAAAAAGAACATAACACTGGATTGAATAGAAAATGGAACTAAATCTTTATTTATAATGTTATACAGATACTTCATTCGACAAAGCTCTTTATAGTAATATTTTTATTATAACTTTTACATTTATATTTATTTATAGACCACTAACATTCCAATCATATCGATAAATTAGTTTTAAAATTAGAATTAAAGATATTAAAATTGTATTCTTATGTCTACAATGTCTGCTCCATTCAATTTTTAATAAGGATAATGACGTAATGATCTTATTTTCTCTATTTTAAAATTTAAATATAGCAAACATTTCTTATAAGCACTCTTACATTAATTTTAATAATAACTACGAAAGCAATGGTCAATTACTGAAGGTGTTTGATACTATTCGTGACAATAAAATATTTTATTATTCGTAATAAGTTTTCAAAGGATAATAAGCTGTGAAACAAGGCCTGTGTGGAATGGATTATGTCATTGTCTAGGGGTACTTTGTTATTTAAAAGAGGCAACAAGGGTAAATTATTGTATAAAAAAATATCTTATAAGGACAAAATTATTTTCCTTCTACTATGTAGTTTTTAAGTAGATCAATAAAAAAATTCCATTATACTAAGTAAAAAAACAGGGCACAAAAAATGTATGCATATTTATTATTTAATCAGAATCCCTACAGATGAGAAGATCGGTTTTAATGGTAAAGTCTAAGAAAATTTTAAGAACAAAGAGATTGTATCATAACATAAAAAACTGATATAATTCTATTAATTCCAGTTAAAAAGATATTAATAAAAATTGAAATTAATAGGTTTGATAAAGGGTTGATTTTGTTACAGATGAAAAAGATTTAAATTATTCTAATAATATTAAACTTTATTCAGAAAAAGAGTAAAGGAACAATAGTTGATAAGAAAAAATATTTATCATACAATTAACTTCAATAAATGCGTAAAGTGAGTAGACGCACTAGCGACCTCGAGTAATCAATGTAGTGACGTGTTAATAAGAGTAGCAGCAGGTGTGCTCAAGTAATAATGTAAGAATCATTCATTCGTAATATGAAAGATTTATTTACAAAGAGGAAATGTGTGGACGTTAATAACGTGGCTCCGTCTTTCCTTGATAAAAGGATATCCAGAAATAGCACTGGCATAGTATCTACTTTAAAACAAAATGAAATAACCTATTGATAAAATACAATAACATAAAACAAACGGCTTCTTGGATTAGTTTTAGCGATATGATAGTTGAGAAAAATATTTTGTTTATATTGGACAATATTCACACTTGGCACATATAACTTTACATAATGCATTGCTTTGGCAAATTTAGTATTAACATATTAGAATTTTACAGTTACTTTTAAAAATTCTTGCGAATAAAAGCAAGAACTGGCTCTACCAGTTAATAAAATAATTTTATTATAGGTTGTAACAAGTTTATATTACGATATCTTTTACATATATGTACTTAAGGTGCTACAAAATTTAAAAGATTTTAGAGTCATTTCATTTGGCCTCTGCGAAAAAAACATCAAAATAAATAAAGTGATAGAGTTTTTTTACTACATTTGTTTTTACAAATTCATCGCGTAACATTTTTAAAGGATTAAATATTAAAAATTATCAAGTTATAGTAACTTAAGAACAGAAGAAAATGAAACGGTTAAACAATTGTCAAAATATAATCATCCTTTTTATTTTACATTTCTAATTCAAGTTTTTAAGTAAAATACTTAGTTAAGTATATTTTACAATTTATAATATATATTAAAATTAATCATGATTTCAAGGAACTAACAGCAATATAATTCTAATATAGCATTATTTAATATATTTGTAGTCTTTAAATTACACATATACAAGACATAAAAAAAAAATATTTATTAAAAATTTATTGTATAAAAATGATCTTTTTGATAAATCATAAGTAGAACTGATTGAATAACTGTTTTTAAAATCACCCACACTCGTTCGCCTAGATATCTTAGTCCTTAACGTGCAATACTTAAAAGTAGAGCAAATAAAAAGGTGGCTTTAATTACGTGTAGTAAGTATATAAGTAAGTATAATTATTTATACCTTAGACTAGATTAATCTAATTATATTTGTTCAGTATTTACACATGAGTAAATGATTACCAATTCTGTATTGCCGTTATCTACAATGAAAAGTTATTATTTCCTTGTGTTTCATTATGTACATTTATTAAGATACTGGACCTAATTTTGTAACTGGCTCATACAAATATTACCTTCTCATTAAATGATTTGCTATATTCTTAGTAACTTATATTTTTAATTGAATTTACACCTTATTTCCTAAGCCTCTATGAATGGAACGGTTTTAAATGTTGACCTTAGTTAGGCGCTCTTAAAGAGAATGAAGAGGTGTCGCTGCTGTTTGTTGTAGTATATTATTTAAATGATTAGCTTTTGTAGAAAAATTATTGCAATGAAATGTTTTGTAGTTCTGAAAAAAAAAAAAATCTAAAAGGTACAATAAATAATTAAGTTTTGTTTCTGTTGTTAAAATATTTGAACATAGAACAACAAGGAATGGATTATTTGAAAATAATGCCCTCCCGTCTCGTTCGGCACCTGGAGGAAGGCTCAGGCCCAGGACTGTCAGCGTCCCAGTTCGGGTTCCGAGCCCATCGGTCGACCGTCGATGCCCTCAAACGCCTGAGGGCGGTGACGGAAGAGGCGGAACGCAGAGGAGAGGTAATGGTTGCGTTGTCGTTAGACATCGCAAACGCCTTCAACAGCCTCCCACACAGCGTGATACAGGTGGCACTCGAGTATTTCGGAGTGCCTCTGAATCTGAGGAGGCTGATAAGCAGCTACTTCTCCCAGAGGAGGGTGGCAGTCGAGACCGGAGGGGGTCCATAATGTGGTGGACAGTCGAAAACGGCGTGCTACAGGAGTCGGTCCTGGGACCGGTCCTGTGGAACGTCGGATACGACTGGGTCCTGCGGAGTCGTCTCCTCCCCGGGATGGGTGTCATCTGTTAAGCCGATGACACCCTCGTCTTATCCCGGGGACGAAACTACAAGGAGGCGGCGCGGCTAGGCGAGGTCGGAACTGACCTCGTGATCAGCCGCATAGAGGATTTGGGGCTTCGGGTTAGAATCAATAAGACCGAAGCCCTCCTCTACCGTGGGACTGGGCGGAGAGGACCCCCGCCGGGTGCCACCCTCCTCATAGGAGGGGGGAGGGTCAGGCTGAGTCCCACAATGAAATATCTGGGGCTCATCCTTGACGGAGGGTGGACCTTCGTGCCCCATTTCAAGGAACTGGGGCCGAAGGTCGTGAGGACGGCAGGTGCGCTAGCAAAATTCCTTCCGAACCTCGGAGGACCCAGCACAGCTTGCAGGCGGCTATACTCTGGGGTCTGTCGGAGTATAGCCCTGTACGGTGCTCCCGTTTGGGCTGATCGCCCAATGAGCCACGGGACCAAAGCCCTATTGCGCTCGGCGCAAAGTCTCCTGGGCCGCAGCGACTGCCCTTGCCGGCGATCCGCCTTGGGATCTCGTGGCGTCGGTTCGCGCCGAGCTGTTCTCCTATGTCTCGGGTAAGAGGGCACTCGGCGAGAACCCTTCGTCGGAGGAGATCCGAGCGGTTCGTCGGCAGGGGGAGGAGCGCCTTATGCGGGAGTGGGGGGAGGACCTGGCGGAGTAGCCATACGGTAGACGTACAACGGCAGCGCTTCGCCCGGTCCTAGAGCATTGGATGAGGCGGGAACACAAGCCCCTCATTTTCCGTCTGATGCAGGTCTTAAACGGGCACAGGTGCTTT